CTACCGTGGTTTATAATATGGAGGCTTACGTGCTCTATAATAATAGGCCGCTAACGTGAGCTTAAATAACTCGAGCCTAGAAGTGGCGCCGACTCTAGAGGTTACTTAATCCGTTTTCTCTAAGTAGTTAAACACTATAGCTCCTACTATAGCTGTAGTGAGAATCCTTATAGAGTATAGTAAGCACTTTAAGAGGGTACCTTCTAGTAATGGCTTCGCGCGAATTACGGCTTACCACCCGCCTTTAATAAGCGGGTAATTATTAGTTAGACTCTATAATCCATGCTAAGTAAGAGCAATTAACCTACTCTAAGGCCGTATTACGTAATGGTGTTTTCTCCGTGTTTCGCTCCCTCCGGATGTGGTGAAATAATTAAGTATATATAGTACTATAACCACCTCTCTATAGCTAACTAAGTATACCGCTCTTCTACTACATCTACTATATACTATTCTGTTTCTCACCATTATTCGGTGCAGAGCGCTTTAGGTAGAAGCTTATAGCAACCTATATTTAATTGCCTTCTTGTTCTATACTTGTTTTCATACGCTCTCAGGCGCTCCCTATGTACTTTCTACTCCTAGGCCGAACGTTCCTTATTAGGGTACAATATTATTAAAGGCGTGTTAACCCTCTAATAGTATAATAACTACCGTTTAAGCTATATCGGCCCTAACTCCTTAGCACATTAACGACTTCTATGCCTTACTCCCTGTAAAGGAGGTCATCGGCCCCTCGTCTCCCCTATATAAAGATAACACACTCTACTAGGCTTATTAAAAAGACCTAAAGCCCGCACTCGTCCTCTATCTCACCTTCCTTCCCTCTCTCTAAGCCATACTTAAGTACCTTAGTAACAGCGAGCTCGATTTCGCCATACGCTCCGGCGGCTGCGGCTTAAGCTCCGCCAAGGATGTCATCCTTAGTATAAGCGCCTTCGACGACTTCACTTTTAATATGGAGGAGGAGATAGTTTTTATTAGCGTAGGCCAAACGTGGGGCGACATCTACCGTAAGATGGAAAGCCTCGCGCCCGGCTTCATAGTTATTAATACGCGAACTCTATACGTCGGCGTCAGCGGATCTATATTAAGCGGTGGTATCTCGTGGCTAAGCCACGAGTTCGGACTAGCAGCCAACCCCTAAAATATGCTAGACGCGCAGCTCGTACTACTTAATAGGCGGCTGGTTTAGGCTTTTAAGGAGCCGGCGCTGCTGTGGGCGCTACGGGGCGGTGGGGGCAACTTTAGCGCTCTTATAGCTATAAGGCTGAAGTGCTATTAGTACACTAACTCTATCTACTTCGGCAGTATTTACTTCCTGATTAAGGCGCTTAAGTAGGTCTCGGTCGCCGTGTCTAAGTTCGCTAATCGTCCTTCGGACCTAAAGATGGCGATGTATATCTTCCTTAGCGGTTAGGAGAGCAGTGAGATTACGGGCGAGCCGGCGAAACCCCTAATATCGATTATAGTATATAATGCGCATAGCGAAGCACACGGCAGAAGCGAGTAGGGGTTTAAGTAGGCCTTAAACGTTCCCGGTGCTATTAACGAGACTTCCACTATAACCCTTTAAGCTGTAGGCGACCTCTAAGGTAGATTCCTTTTTATAGCGCTTACTAGAAGAAGAAAAGATAACTAGATACTAAATAGAGTTCCACCTAGAGGTTATCCGCCTAATATTTAGCGCCCTTCACTCCCACCTTGCCGCTAGCATCGTATAAGACATTAACCCAGACTTTCTCCTCTATGCCTAGAACTAGCTCCACATAGCTATCTATACTAATAGTCGGCTTAGCGCTGGGACCTTTATTTTGCTAGAGATTATGTAGAAGAAAGCCTTTAGGTCGGCCGGCGCTAATAATTCAACCACTTAGCCCCACTCCTCTAGTCGTCACATCTTATAGCTATTAACGGAATTCGCGCCGGGGTCTAGCTGCTCGGACGAGCTAGCGCTAAAATTGCTAGAGACGGCTTCTAGTGAGATCTCCTTTAGAAGGTATGTGGACGGAGATTACTTTCCTAACTTCTTTAATAGGTACATGTAGCTCGGCAAGATATAAGTATCCTTCTCTAGCTGCGGTGACTAAAGGAATATAAAAGAAGCTAACAATCGCGCCTAAGATCTTTAGTGCTAACCTTAAAAAGCTGCGGCAGCTAAAGACTAAGTACGATTCGGACTATAGGCTTAACAAAGGCTATGCTATTCCACCTATTATACTTTAAGTTTAATACTTTTAGAACATTATGGTTCTACTTCTTCTCCGGATAAAAGAGTAGTTATTACGGTTCCGTGTACGAGGCTCTATAGATACGGCTTGAGTCACGTGATTGCGGCTCTATACCGCATGCTCCGCATGATTCCTATAGCTTAGCAATTAATACTTAACTATTCTAATTAATATCGTAATAGTAGTAGTAGATATATAATATCTTCTAGTATCTTATTTATCTAGTCTCTTCTAAAACAGCTACTAGTAATATATTTTAGATAACTTTAGTTTTAGGATTATGCTATTATATAGGCTAACTACTCTATTAAACTATATATCTAGCTAAAAAAAAGTATAGTATATAGCTACATAAACCCTATATGTGTATTTATATTATATACTACATATACTCTTTCTTTTAATACTTAACTACTTACTATAGTAGATTATAATAAAAGCTAAAGATATAAGAGTTTAGTTTACTAACTATCATATAAAGATATTCTATAATAAAAAGAAGAGACTATATCTATATATGATATTAATATTTATACTCTACTAGCTAACTGAGTAGCTATATATTACCTACTAGAACTATAATATTACTTTCTTTTCTTTTTAAAGAATAACTCTAAAGAATATACTACAGAAAGAGAACTAATAAGCTTAAGATATATAGAAGTAGAGGCTACTTATAACTTATAGTTCTAGAAGTTAGTAGTAGCTACAAATTAGAATAATTCTAATATAATAGAAATTAGTTGCAAGTTTAGTAAGTTATATAGAGGGATCTATAATCTTATCTTAGAATCTCTAGTTATAGTAATAGAATAAGTACACCAACTTAAATACTAGATAGTATATCTTATTTAGAATATAAGTGCTATAATATAGTAGAGTAGTATCTACTAAAAGATATAAAGTTTACTAGAAATAGAATATATATAATAATAGAGAGAAGCTATATCCTCTAAGAACTTTAATAGAAAGCTATAATACTCTAATAGAAAATTATACATAGAAATCTAGAGGCAAATATAAGAAACTAGATTAATTTAAGTAAATCTAAGTATAATAGAGTAGAACTTCTAGCTAAGAACTCGAGATCTAGAAGCTCTAGTTTAATATCTAGATAGCTTTTTAGCTAGAATATTAATAAAAGTATCATATTTATAATAAAGATTCTATTTAGATTAAAAGTAATTAGTGCTAAGTATTAGGTAATTACCAATTACCTCCAGCCGCTAAGGTAGTAATTAGTGGAATTAGTATAATTAGAACCAAGTACACTAATTAAAGGAATTATAATTGAATTTAGTCTAGGAACCTATCACACAGGTCCAGAACACAGAAATTGCTGCATGGAAGCTTGGATGCCCAGAATGGTTTTAATCAGAAGTCGACCTTAAACTCTTTCGGTTTACAAAATCAACCTCCAGAGCTGAAGCTGCCTTAGATTAGCCTTAGAAGCTCAGCCTAACAGATTGGATCCCGCGAAGTTCGGAGACTCCGTACTCCGCCCCTTTAGATATTAGGCACCAAATTCTCAGCAGTCGCGAAACCGATTTCCGTGCGCCAGCCCGTAAAGCAACATGTGTCTCAGCCCGTTGAGGTAAGATAAATACCGCAGCAGGGATAGAGACCGCACGGGATACGGCTGAGTTTGTACAACTGATATACAGTGTCTCTCTGGCCATGTGGTTAGACTTGCAGCATGCTGTGTGAAGGCCCTGGCTAGTGTCGTCCAATGAGACAGCGACGAGCGTCGGAGCTGATATCTAGCATCGATGGTACCTTCAGATAGTGCAATTTCTCTTCCTAATTGGCCTATATATGCAACTCAGGCAGGCAGAATACGAACTACCATGTCGTGGCCTGAAACGCGGGAACTATTGCTAGTTGAAACACGACTTTCATTGGGGACGTTGATATCTTCTCAAGCTGCACTTTCAGCCTGGTTGGTTGAAACCTCCTCTGACGGGAGGCTGTGGCCCTTAAGAGCACTTGCCATACCTTGAATATGGGTCCTAATAAATCTGGGGATAACAACATAGGTTATCTTTAGCACTTACGGCCCTTCGTACCATAGCTTACAAGCGTATATTTCAAAAACCTCTACATCCTCTAGTCAAACAACGATTCATCCCCCATATTCTTTGAAGTTAAAATCTATCTTATCAAACATGAAGACGTCTTCCTGTAGTTGACAGAGGATGAGGGGTAGTGCTTTCATATTCGCGCATGGGACCCATGAGTAGCGTAATCAGATTCGATATTGTGAGAAGTGTTCCGCTACCGAATGCGCCTTCAATGGCACAGTGAGCCTCGAAACAGAACCTCTTTCACCCGGTCAGAATAGAAAGGTTCAGAATAAACTACAGTTTGGTAGCAAAGTTCGCTTGAGCGGTAGTGAGCGGTCGAAACTCTAGCAAATGAAGGTCGGTGCACTCACTATACCAAGATATTCTGCAGCCATGTGGAACCTTCAGAAGAAGTTATTAGATTCATTATAAACGTCTAGGAGGTCCTCCATGCTAATATAGTATTCCACTTAGAGTAACAGCAGACCTTCAAACATGATATGAATACTGAATAAAGGAACCCCTCGGTATATTATTATTACGTTCCTACACGCAATTGCAGCATGTTTTGACATAGAGAGTAAACCAGGTAAGACAGCCGCGAAGTGCCCGGATATCGCGCCTGGAATTCCCTTCAAGACCACTCAGATGTCTTGCCCCTTGAATTGCCACCCAATCAAATTGCCCCCGGCCTCAATTGATGATCTCATAGAGGAAGAATGTCTGGGATCGGCCCTGCAGGAACAATCTCTTGCCGCGTGGCCAGTGTATACCCAGATTTAATCTGCAAAGCGTCAGCTACTTGATTATCTTTCTTTCTTGACATCTGAATGTTGAGAGTGAATCATTGGCCGACGTATGAGAGAGAGAAAGTACGATTCTGGATAAAGTAAAAATCTTTTATCTAGATGCACTTAGAAGTGGCTAGTGTGTTATCACTGCATAAAACAGGATCAAAACAACAAATCTACTCAAATCACAGCATCAACCTTAAATTAAGTGCAACATACCTCCTCAAACCTCGTGGTGTTCTTAAACGCCCCATTCGTCTTTTCACTCTCATCCCAATACAGTCGCCGAAGCCACTCATGCAACTTCGGATAATCATGCCGAATCATCTTCAAATTGACCTTGAATAGCGTATAATACGCCGTGTCAAACCTCACCAGGGTAGGGAACAGCCTAATATCCGCCTCGGTGATGTGTTCACCGAATAGGTAGGGCGAATGCCCCGGTTGAGAAAGATGCTCTTCCAGCCTGTCGAGGGATTTGAACAGCGGGAAGACGTGCTCCTCGTACGCCTGCTGCGTGGACGCGAAGCCGGCCCCGTAGACTCCGGCGTTGATGTTTTTGTAGACCCATTCGTTCATCTCCTCGATGTCGGCTTGCAGGTGCGGGGGTAAGAGCCCGGCGGAGGCTTTTGTAGACTCGCGTTTTTCTTCGGGGAGCAAGGCATCGAAGGCGGTGTTGAACATACGAATTATTTCGCTGCTTTCGTTGTTGACAATTGTCTCTTTAAAGCACGTGAGCTCTAAGATGCTTCCTCAATTCCCCGCTACTACACACCAATACTCACCTTTCTTCTTGTCCCAGAGCGTCGGCACAGTAACCCGTCCCTGATACTCCGGATCTACCCTCATGTACAAGTCTCTCAGATACTTGACACCGTAAAGTGGATCTTTGTCAGGCCCTAGCTTGCCAGAAAAGTACCAGCTCTTCGCCGGGTCAAAGGCATCAAGCACAATAAGCTGAATCACATCCTCAAGCCCCTTGAGCGAGCGCACGATGTTGGTGCGGTGCGCCCACGGACAGCCGTAGTGGATGTACAAGGCATAACGGTCCTTCTCTGCCGGGAATGGAGCCGACGGATCGGGCGAGATAATATCGCGGAATTTGGAGACTGGCGGCCGGTATTGGCCGTCTTTATCGGTGTATTTGTCGCGGCTCGAGGTGCCTAAGGCGGTGCTTTGGGTGGGCTGTTCGAGTGGTCAGCTGATTTGCGATGTACTGTATATTGAGAGATGGACTTTAGACTGGGTCATGGTGGTGGTAATGCTACTGTAATATTTGGGATAGTATCTAGTTCCGGTACACAGGATCGATACGAAATAGGGTTCAGAAGAGCTGCTGTAGGTTTATAAATACCTATCATCAAGAAATCACATTACTAGATGGTGGAGGTAGTTCAGCTCTGATGTTGATTAATAAAGACGACAGCAGCAACCCGGATGCGGGGCCATGCTGACTGGCTTGGCCTCTGGACTTTGGTCAGCAGGAAGAGATGGTGGTGGTCGAGATAAACCAATTGGATAGATGATAGTTAAGGGAAAAATAATTAAAGGATTAAGTAGCACAGATTGAGATAGGCTAAGGTAAGAACTAGTACCTCGTGTTCCGCATAGCATGACCGAAAATGAAAACTTGACGTAACGTAAGCGACGGTGTAATGCAATAGACAAAGTGATGCAACAAAACTCTAGGGACCACTTTTTCGAGAAAAACTCAAGATACCCGGAAGCGCAACTATAAGTACTAATAATCTCTATAACACGGAAGGGGCCTTAATACTTATTTAAGAGCTTCTGAAGCAGGCGACCGGACTACTAATTATAAGTATCTAGATATACTCTATTATTAACCTATTACTTAGAAGTAGAAGTCTACTAGCGGTTAATAATATTATTATAAATAGCTTATACTAGGTGTATCTACTCCTTTAGTTTCTATAAATTAATAATTATCTTATTATAAAACTAAGCCACTTCTTTATAGTCTAGCTAGAAAGATAGATTTACTTTAGAGACGTATAGTTTAAGGTCTAGATAGAAGTATTAGCTATAGTTAGTAAGAAAGAAAGAGACTTAGATGGTTTCTAAGATATAGTTATTATAAATAAACTTTATATAGAGTATCTAGTCTATCTAGTTATCTTATAAGAATACTATATATTTATAGGTACTATTAAAAAACCAAATTAGTGTTTTTAGTTTAACTATTAGTTTTAGAATATTAGACTATAGAGGGATTTTAGTAGATATCTAGCTAAAAGTATAATTCCTTCTAGAACTAACTAGTATATCAGCTCTTTTTATCTAAGATAATTAACTTAGAGAGGCTATAGTACTTCTAGATATATTAGAAGAAAAGTACTATAGTAGTTAGCGCATCTATCTTACTATAGAAGATAAAGTATTATATCTTAGATAGAGAATCTATAATAATAAGAATATTCCTATATATATTTCTTTAGTAATTCTTACTCTCTAGAAGCTTAATAATAAAATCTAGAGAGATATAAGACTAGCGTTACTTTAGGAGAAATAGTAGCTTAAGTAGACTATAGTAGCAGTTCTAGAAGACTTTTATCTAAGTATAGATAGAATAGTTATAGATAAACTAGTAGATATCTTATATAATTCCTAGCTACTAGTATAAGCGTAAGAGAATATTAAATATCTTAGTTCTTTAAGAGTATTCTATTACTAGAAGAGAGTAGGCTTTATATAGAGCGTATATATAGATCTAGTTAGAGTTAAATAGAAACTAATAGTCTTAGTAGGTAATTTAGCTATGCTTTTTATAAACTTAAGATAATAGAAAGTCTTTTAGTATATAAATACCTTATTATAAGTAAATAAGAATCTTCTAGGCTTGTTTATCTAGTATATAAGTAGAGTAAGTATTAATATTTTAGTCTAGTGTAGTATTAGAAATCTTATCTAGCATTTTAATTATATCTAGTTAGATTACTAGTAGTTTCTCTTTGATTTTAGTATCTTAAGCTAGTTTAGATAGAGTTATAGAGATTCTACTAGAAGCTAAAAGAATATCATTAGTAGTAAGAGATATACAATAGAGCTAAAGATTAAGATTATACTACTTTAGTATAATCTATAACTAGTTTTTTTAAAGGATTACTTTCTTCTCTAGTAGAGAGATCTCTAGACTAATAAATTAGAGTGTTTATAGTTATATTTAGACTATTCTTCTAGTAGCTAATCTTAAAGTTAAACTATAAAAGAAACTTACTCTAGTAGATCTAGTAGCAATTAAGAGACTTTATTAATATAGAGTACTTAAGGTTCTTATAGTCTAAGATAATATTAACTAGTTTCTTAGTTTCTTCTAACTTAGAATACTAGGCTTTAAATGCTTTAATAATAGCTAGTAGCTTTTAGTTATAGATCTTATAGTTATATTTAGTAATAAATATCTTAGTTAAGAGGTAAACTATAGGCTAGGGTTAGCTTTCTAAGTCTAGTTAGTAGATAATAGCGAAAATCTTTATTATCTCTAAGTTTTTAGAGGTGCTAAGCCTATATCTATCTTAGAAGCCGCTTGCAAGAAGGCTTATATACTTAGCTAAATTAAGCTTCTTAGGCTTATCAAGCTTATTAGAATACTTAGAATACTTAGATTACTTAGAGCTATTAAGCTACTAAGCTACTTAAACTACTAAGCTATATAGAACTTTAAGTCTAAGCTTTATCTATCTAACTCTATCTATCTAGCTCTATCTATCTAGCTCTATCTATCTAGTTTTAACTACTACTATATATAGAAATAATTTAGCTATATACCTATAGAACTTATAAAAAAATAAGTTTAAATCGCTTAATTTTTAAAAACGTGAATATTCTATCTCTACTAGCTAGGGGGTGAAAATTAAGCGAGAAACTAAACTCTAAGACTTTTTAGAATTAAACTACTTATTAAGCAACTTAGTAGCTCTAAGTATCCTGTAAATTCTAAGAATTCTAAGAAGCTTAAGAACACTAAGTATATAAGGTATCTAGAGCTATCTCTAAGCTAGATATAGCTAAATCTAATCTAGCTTAGAGATAGCTCTAAAGACCTACTAGTAAAGTCTAATAGCTTAGAGCTAACTCTAAGTAATTAGAGTTACCCAAACTATATGCTAGTAGCTTAAAGCTTATTAAGCTATAGAATGAAACACTAATAAAGTATAATAGCTATGATATAGTCTAAAGTATCTATTTCTACTATTACTAGCTTATTCTAGTTGAAGTACTATAGAATTAGTATAGTAGTAAAAGCGTGGTTTAACTTATAGAGAATATACTTATAATTAGAACCCTAAAAGAATAACCGGTTCTTTTATATAAAGCTAGTAAAAGAGACAATAATCTTAGTGAAATTATAAATAAAGTAATAGTAGAAGTTTATAAAACCTAGAAAGCTTTAGATATATTTTAGGTTTTAAGACTAGAGCTAGTCTTATATAATAGAGACCCTTATTCAGTCTATCTTAGTACTCTTAGTGAAAATAATCAGTTCTAAGTATTTAATCTTCTAGATATAAAACATATATTTCTTAATATTAACTTATAGACCGGCTTCTCTTAAACGGAGTAGTATCTTCTAGATATACTCTTTATACTTACTTAGAATATTACTATAGACTAGTATATTATTAATATAGGCGGTATAAAACTAGTCTAGATACTTTTAGAGAATAGTATTATTAAAGAGAAGAGATTAGATAGACTAAGAATACTAGTAGATATAACTTTGTTTCTTAGAATAGCACAAGCTATTACTCTCTAAGACAAGCTAGAGTAGAGTGCTTTGTTCTATATTCGCTAAGCTCTCTCTAGACTATTCTAATCTAATTAACTGCGGCCTATTCTATATAACTTATATAGAAGATTTAACTACTATATTCTAATTACATTATATTATAGTCTAATCGCTTATAAGCTAATTGGTAGAGGTTTATAATAGTTATTTATATAGTATTAAAAGTATAAAAGTATATTAAATAGACTAAAGAGTATTATAAGATATTTATAGAGGCTATATGTCATGACTCGGCTAGAGGAGAGCCTTAGCATAGTATTAAGCCATATTGCATCTAGCTTGTTACTAAGCTGAATGTTATAACCCCGCCTTCTTAGCATTCTTCCTATATCTATAGATACCCACCGTCTAATAGACGGTAGGCTTTAGTCTTTGCACATACTACAAGATACTATTTCTTAACTACCGTAGAATATATCTTACTACTAGTAATTGCCTAGCTTGATGCCATCGAGCTACTAGCTACTTACGTGAATATATTAACCTACTAGCCTGTAGATCCTGCTAAGAGAATTCAGGTTATTGACACTATAGTAGG